ATGTCACTTTTTGTATTTGTTTACCACGTATCATATCACTTTTTGTATTTGTTTACCACGTATCATATCACTTTTTGTATTTGTTTACCACGTATCATATCACTTTTTTATGCATGCTATATTGTTTTCTCGATAATTTTAAACAATATTAATTTAATTGAAGTTAAGTTTTATTTGAAAGGCTATTTTGGCTCTGATGATTTTTTTTTAGGTTAATGTCATGTAGTGAAATGTTTAAATATTTTGTGATCTCTTTATAAACATTTTTGTTTATAGCATACAGTTTATAGCAATTTAAGTTTAAAAAATTTGGATTGCAGTATCAAGCTGTGAAACAGACCAAGAGTACTAACCTTATGCAAGTGTCCAATGGTGCAATCAAGCAATTGGCTATGGTTCTTTTACTATCCTCAACTTTAAGATGGGTTTTAAAAAACGACTTGATGCTCGATAATACATTACAAACGAATTAGCCTGAAGTTTAACTTTCATTTCCAAGTGCGCATTTTCATGCGCAAAAGGTGTATAACAGTAACCCCGGTGGTTCAACGGTAAATCTGAGGGCTTATAACGTTAAAAGTCGGGTTTCGATATTCCCATTGTATAGCTTTGCGCTTAACAACAAACAAACAAAAAAAGTATAACAGTAAGGGGTGATTTTATTTCGAAAATTCTGTTGATTTTCTATTTAGCAAGAAATGATTATCAATCAGCAGGAGCTGATGTTATCGTATTGGAGAAAATGTCTCTTGGTTACACTAAGCTGTTAGTGACGGTATATCCGGTTTCGGCTGGTATTGTAAAAAAGGTGTTAACCAAAATGTTATGTGCAGAAAGAAAAAAACTGCTGTTTTTGATTCAACTGGAATGTGTATGCATATGAAAACATACGCCACGTAAAAAGAAACAAAAGTAAGGTTATGTTTATTTAATGAAAAAACAATTAATTATCAATGATATTTTCAAGAACAAAAGTTTGTTTTTAAACTGCCTATGAAGTTGAGTCAACTTAAACGTTAAAAATGCTGGTCTGAACTAATGTCATCATCGTTTGAAAGACTTAGTAATCGTATATTTATAACTTAAGAAAGTAATTATTTTGCAGATAAAATTTGAGATGGACTATGCTCCATGTGAACTAAAGGCCCATGTTATGATTCCACCACATGCTCTTAAGCGGGAAGTGATCAACAATGATTCCCGTGTATCTAGATCCTTTGGATCCATACAAAAAGTTCCATCTCTGAGTGATATTTATCGAGAAAGTTCGCTGGGTGAGTGTACTTTTCAAGTACTATAATTTTATGAATACCTTTAAATTTAACTTTGCTATTTTTATTCACAGCTATAATATTATGAATCTCTGGGACTCGTAACATATAGTTGAAAACCTTGCAAGACGAGCCTTTAACCCATATGACTACATATACGTATATCAAGTGGCTTTGAGTCTAGCTTCACATGGTTTATTGTAATTATTAAAGTTAAGTAAAAAAAAAATTATAAGGAGCTCTTATGACATCAACACTATGACAAAATAACTATATGTATTTTTTTCGCTTTACAACAGCGCAGTAACTATTTATTTGTAGCTAAGTACAAAGCTACACAAAGGGCTATCTGCGCTCTGCCCACCACGGTTATGGAAACCCGGTTTCTAGCGTTGTAAGTCCGCAGACATACCGCTGTGCCACTGGGGGCGCGCAGTAACTAAGATCACAAGAAACTCTCCCTTTTTATCAGTTTCTTGTAAAATGCTTGGTATTTACAAAATTAATTTTCAATTGAAAAACGTAAAAGTACATAATGCTTACATATATGTGTGTGTGTATGCGCCAAATATATTTATAATACAAAACAAGCTTTAATCAAAACGCTGCAAAACAAAGTCACCAAGGCACAGGCTATAATGTGATATGTCCTGGTTTGGGGAATAACCGAGGAAGTAGGATACACATAGCGGTGGGATACAACGTCTGTCACTCTTAACTTTCGTTCACAAAGAAAAAAGAATAAAATAGTGAAATAAGAAAAAATACAAATAATATAAGAGAACAAGGTTTGGGTGCTCAAGCTCACAAATAATATAAGAGAACAAGGTTTGGGTGCTCAAGCTCACAAATAATATAAGAGAACAAGGTTTGGGTGCTCAAGCTCACAAATAATATAAGAGAACAAGTTTTGGGTGCTCAAGCTCACAAATAACATAAGAGAACAAAGTTTGGGTGCTCAAGCTCACAAATAATATAAGAGAACAAAGTTTGGGTGCTCAAGCTCACAAAGTCCCACATTGTTTATCACCATTCACTAACAAGTATGGGAATGTGGTTGCTCTCAGGAATTTCCTAAAGTTGGGGGTGGTGAGTAAGAAAACCTTACCTCTGGAAGTTGGCTTTCCAGCCTCCATATAGATTAAGCATGTTGTTTTGAGTAATGCTCTGAAACCTAATGGTTATTTTTCTGTTTGTTAAACGCTTAAATATTTTAAAGGAGTCAAACATGTTATTGACATGGAATGAAAACATTTTGAAACCATCATATATGAGAATTAGACAATGTGTAGTTATTTACTTACCATCTGATGTATTATCCTCTAATTTCAATGTTGTACTTGCACTATGGATGTTAACTAGACACAAAAGGTATTTGAAATGTTTATATAGTAATGATCTCGTTTCGTAAATGATTTTATTCATAAATATTTTAATTCATCGGTAATGAATATTTGTGCAAAAAAAAATTAACAAATCAAAAACTAAGATCTGTTATTTTAAAACAAACATATTATATGCCAAAGCCTATAAAAATAAATTTCAGTTAATAAATAGACAAAAAAAGAAGAAGTAAATCTTGTTAGGCTTAAATTTATAATTAATGTAGAATAAAACAACAAACAAAACTTTAATGATAGATTTGCATATCTAAGCTTATGTAATGTAAATATAAGTTAAGTTTATTATTAAAGTAGCATCTGCTGTAAATGCAGCTGCATAAGCAATTGAAAAAAAATCACATTTATTTGAGTTTCTTATTACCATACAAGAGTTGTTTACTGTAAACCTTATCCTACTCAGCAGTAGACATAAACGAGCTTAGGCTCAAAAGTATAAGAACAAAAACACAAAATCTAGCTAAAGAATTATCAGCGATGCCTTTTTGTTGAACAAGAGAATGTTTGAAAATTATATTGACTCAATAACTTGTAATGTATTCTGTAAACTCTGTACTGAGATCTCGTTTTTGTGTTCGCATCACCCATTTCAGAATACAGTTAAATTTAAAACCTGCTACAATTGCTCATACTGCAGATTCAGCGAATCACAGTAGCCCATGCTCAATTGTCTGTCTATACTTTTTCTTTAGAAATATTTTGATTATCATTTCTAAGTGCAAGAATATCAAACAAAACTTGCTTCAGCTACATAAAGTTTGGTTCGTTACATTAAAACGATTTTGTTACTTTCTGTGTTTTCACGTCTGGCCATGTTCTATCTGGTGACGGTGCATCTTGACAATAGCCCTGCGTCGTAATCTTCATTGAAAAAGTCTTCGTCACACGTCTGTTATGTTCAAAGCACACCACTCTTCCCTATTAGTATTCCGTAATCCATTTAGTAAACGAGAATGATTGTTTCCTAACGCCCGTTTGAACAGAAAATCTTAACCGATATGTCTTCTTATGTAATAGCATAAACACCATTTGCACCCTCCAGCTACTTTAGGTATGCGACAGTTGAATGATGGGTATGACTGGAAGCCTTATATTGGTGAACCCATATTCTGTTGACCTCATTTTTAGACGCAAATTATTCTAGATGATGCTGCGTACTGTTGCCTGGGACATACTTACTACTTTTGCCTCTGACCATTGTGTTCGTAGATATTCAGATGTTGCATGACACTGCATCTTGCTTACAACAGCAGTGATACGAATTGCTGCATGTCTCTTTTTTTATGGCACTGCTGTCTTAAATTGATCCATATTTCTTTTCTTTTTTTTTCATTGCTATGAAAGTATCCCCTATATGAACTTATCTTTACATATCTTTATTACATATCCTTTCCAGAAACCCTCAGTTTTCGATGGCATCAAACTACCCACAAACCGACAAATAATGTAAAAATGGGATCCCGATGCACGATGCTTCACAGCGTCTTTATATCGGTTGTGGTTGTAACGTGACTAATTTGCGTATTCAAAATCATTTTAATATAACGTACTTACCCTTGTATAAAATAAATGAGTTGGAAATATTAGACAACATTTAAAATGCATGTAGGATTGCACAATATGAGTTTCATTATTTTACAGTACTTGTTGAAATACATTACCCTTCTAAGTTTAATAGTCAAGAGGTACTTCAAATATCAAACTACATTGAAAAAATGTAGTATAATTATTATAAATTAATATAGCAAACGCCCATGTTGACGCTTTGGAACTTCAACAAACCTTTTCCATTTGCGTTTTTCAACTACATATAAAACTATATGTACTTTTAAAACTTTAGGACACACGGCAAGTAAGTAGGAAAAAATATTTTTGGCTTAATCCCAAGTAGGAGATGAAATCCTTTGGGGTTTTGAGTAAAGTGCTCTTGCGTGAGGTGTAAGTTGATCCTTTGGTGTGGCTCTCATTCTGGAGGGTAAAAATGGATGTGAATGAAATAAATGTACATGCTCAGCAAGCATTTCTGAATGAACGGCATCTGAAAAAAGAGAGTGTTACCAGTTTAACACGTTGATTTTTTTGCTTCTGTTCACATCCAAAACGTGAAGATACGTTATTAAAACTTTGCCGAAACAATACCAAATTTAAGCCTTTGATATTTTTGTTTTTTAGCCGCCGCTTAGCGGCTCATAGAATGGCTGATTTTTTTTTTCATGTTCAAACTTTTATATCATAGCTCCGTCATCTCTTGACCGATTTGAGATCTAATTACAGATTTGGACTCAGGAGGTCAAAACCTTTCGATTGGTGTATTTGGTGTACGATTGGTGTACGCCAAAGGTCTCATAGATTAATTTACTCTAATCTTGCCCAAAATAATTTCATTTTGAGAGTAGGCGGGTAGATATCCTGATGAGTATTGTTTGTTTGTTTTGAATTTCGCGCAAACCTGCACGAGGGCTATCTGCGCTAGCTGTCCCTAATTTAGCAGTGTACGACTAGAGGGAAGGCAACTAGTCATCAACACCCAACGCCAACTCTTGAGCTACTCTTTTACCAACGAATAGTGGGATTGACCGTCATATTATAACGCCTCCACGGCTGAAAGGGCGAGCATGTTTGGTGGGACGGGGATTCGAACCCGCGACCCACAGATTGCGAGTCGAGCTCCCTAACCACCTGGCCATGCCGGGCCCCTGATTAATAATAAATTCGAATCATGTATGGTATTGGTAGCGCACAAAAATATAGCTAATAAAAAGGAAAAAAGGGTCTCGTCGACTAATTTATTCTAATCCTACCTATAAGAATTTCAAGTGCCGCGACTATTGATATTCCTTCTTGTTTTTACTTAGATGCCCCCCAGTGTCTCAGCGGCAAGTCTGAAGATTTATGACGCTAAAAACAGTGTTTCAATAGTCGTGATGGACAAATACAGATAGCCTATTGTGTAGCATTGTGCTTAACAACAAACATACAAATTTAAAATGCTATACTATGTATGAAATTATATACGCAACTTCATAGGTTAAATTATTTCTACATCTAGGCCTAAAATAACGTATTTGATAGACTGTGAAAGGTAGTTTTTAGCAATTAATCGTAATTTAAAATTTTTCAAAATGTGACTTGTGCATGCATTTTTATTAACTCATTCCAAGTCTCACAAAATTGGTAATTTATTTTACTATATAACTTATGACAACTCGTCTAGCTTGTTTAACTTAAGTTTATGTAAACAAACTATAGTAACAGTAATATTATTTATCGAATACTAAACTCTTTTTGTTCAGATTGGAAAAAGTTTAGTTAAAATTTACATAGATGAGAGAAAATATCAAGAAAGCGTTTTGGTTCTTTACTTTTAACAACAGTAACTATAATGATTAATTATTGTGAAGAACCCCTCAACAAAGCGTCAAGTGTGTTGTAGAAGCTGTTAGCATAATATACATAAATGTTGCTAAGCCATACAAGTGGCCATTCAGCATTACGCATGAGGTTGAATTCAAGACAAGCGTAGGTTTGTTTGTTTGTTTGTTTTTTGAATTTCGCGCAAAGCTACACGAGGGCTATCTGCGCTAGCCGTCCCTAATTTAGCAG